CCAAGTTACTCACCTTCCTAGAAATACTTAGGAATAGAGAGAGAATACTGCTTCTAAAAATCTCGATTTGGAAAGTGGTTGGAAAGGCACCATTTTATAAATCTCAGCTATCCATTGCTATTGGTTGCCTAAAACTCTTGGAGAATTTTTGATATGTATGAAGTGTTTCCAAAAAATATTATTGTTATCAATCTCATTCATTTCAATTCATTTATGGAGTGCCTATTATATAGTCCCTGGTGGTGCAAACTGTTTTCACTCAACCACCAACCTAAATGTGGCAGTTAGAACCCACCCAGTGGTGCTGCAGAAAAAAGGCCTGGCAACTTGCTTCAGTAAAAATTACAGCCAAGAAAACCCTTCAGTGCAGTTTTACTCTGTAGAATTCTGTAGTTCTACTCTTCTACCATGAGTGGGAATAGGAATCAAATGGACTTCAATGGGATTACATAGTAAGCATTGTGTTGGATGCATCAGAGTTAATTTAAAAGAAAACACACAAGAAGTATTTTCATCCCTTTTATCTAACACCTACAAGTTAGACTCTGGGCCACTATTTTTGAAGATACAGATATAGATATATATATCCTCCCCTCGCCCTCCCTTGAATGAGGAGTTAAGAGCACATGTCTTCTGATCTGTCCTGGTAGACCTTCTCTTTCTGAATGAGGAAATATACATCCTTAAATAAACCTGATCTTTGGGTTGGGCCTCACAATTTTCCCAGGCCCCACCCAGATGGAAAACACACCCCATCTGAAAATCTAGTTTCTCTATAATTCTTGGTTAAGTTTTAGAGAAATTTTATACAAGGCTATCATTTTGGTTTCTAAACACAGAAGATCGTAGCTTTATTCTGGTTGCAACTTGTTGAATCATATACAAAATTCTCAGCCTCTCTTGAAAATACAAACACTATCCACAAGCTTTTCTACACTGGCACACATCTTTTCCAGGAAATCAGAATTTGGTCCATACATGCCCTCCATACATTGTTGTGCTCCAAATCTGAGCCTAAACTGAAATCCCCATGAAGCCAATGCATGTGAAAATTGTCTTAATCTTGGGCCTGTGTTAGGAACAACTCATAATCCCAGGGTTAAGGACATGGAAGGACCAATTCTAGGCTCATGTTCTCACAGTGTTACTACAGGGAAGGTTTCTGAAGACTAACTAGTTAAATCATCATACTTTCAGATGAGGAAACTGAGACCCAGAAAGTAGAGTCATTTCCTCAGTGACTCCCCCCACAGCCCCCCCCCAAAAAAAAATCACCAGGTCTCTGGACTCAGTACAGTGTTCTTCAACACCACACTTCTTTTTTTCCCTGCTAATGTTCATTTTCTGAAATGCTTCTTGAGTTTCTGTTTTCCTACTTATCTAATGTTAAAATCATCATGTCCTGTATCCTGGAAAATCCTTGTGATATATCTCTGAATGCTTTAAACAAAATCTCTGTATTAATTAAATTCCAGAATTCAACTCAAGAAAAAGTTTTTGCTAGAAACCACTAGGTATGCAGATGACTAACTTATTAGGGAAAGTACTCAGAGGGCGCCCTCAATGCTCTTTGGACTTGGGAACAGGGGCCTTTCCAGAGGAGAAAAACCACCACCCCTCTTCTCTTAGGTCAGGTTCTCTGTCTAAAAATTCACCCCAAATGTCTGGCCTGGTATTTGTTTTGAGTTAAATAGTATTAAAGTACACTATAGGTGCTTTGGAGTTCTGGTGGCAGAGTGCCTAAGGCATCTGACTGCTAACCGGAACGCTGGCAGTTCAAATCCACGAGCCACTCCATGGAAGGAAGATTGGGCAATCTGCTTCCCTAAAGATTTACCACCCTGCAAACCCAAAGGGGGTCACTAACAGTCAGAATTGACTTGACAGCAGTGAGGTTTTTTTTTTCTTTTTTTAAATAGGTGCTTTGGATAAAGATCTCAACATCAACACAAATACACCTACGTCTAAAAACAAAACAAAAAAGACTTTCAGTAGAGTTTAAAGTAAAATTTTCAAGAGTATAAACCCAGATACACCCCAGAATTGTGAGACTTATTGCCACAACACATCTAGAGTCATCTGACTAACAGTCCAGTCTATTATTGCAGGAAGGTTATTAAAATCTATGGGCCTAAAACCATGTGAAATGTGGGTGAGGTAACAAACTTGTAAAAATTTTCACTTCTGCATTTCCTGATTTAGGAGTAATAAAGGTGGGTCTGGTATAAAACGTATTATGTTGATTAGTGAATCTGTACCTGGGGTGCTGTTGGTCTCTTGGGTGAAAGAGAAGTGGCCAAAATTTATGTCTCAGGTACTGAATATGGACACTGTCAAAATTTTGGTCAGGTCTTCAAAAAATCAGTGAAACCATTTTCCTTTTTTTGATAAATCAGGTTGTCTTGTGTCCACTTGTGTGGGCCCATAATAAATTGAAAATATGGAGTTTAATTTCTTTTGATTCAAAAATTCTTCGTTTGGGGGTATAGTTAAACAGAAACTTTGGAATCCAATCCTCCACGTCGGGATTTAAGACCCACATTCTAGGTCAAAAGACCTCTTTAAAGTGCTGAAGAGCAAAGATGTTTCTTTGAAGACTCAGATGCGCCTAACCCAAGCCCATAGGAGCTCTGGTAGCATAGTGCCTAAGGCACTTGACTGCTAACCAGAAAGCTGGCGGTTCAAACCCACCAGCCACTCCTCAGAAGGAAGGTTGGGCCTTCCTACTTCCGTAGTGATATTGCCTCGGGGAAACCCACGGAGGGCTCACTATGAGTCGGCCAACTGGATGGCAAATAACAACAACCCAAGCCCTGGTATTTTCAATTGCCTCCTATGCATGTGAAAGCTGGATAATGAATAAGGAAGACCGAAGAGTTGATACTTTTGAGATGTGGTGTTGGAGAATATTTAAAGTATCACTGACTCAGAAGAACTAACTGGAAGAAATGCAGCCAGAATGCTCCTTGGCAGCAAGAATGGCCAAACTTCACCTCACCTACTTTGGTCATGTAGTCAGAAGGGACCATTCCGTGGAGAAGGGTATCATGCTGGTAAAGTGGAGGGTTGGCAAAGAAGGGGAAGACTCTCAACGAGATGGATTGACAGAATGCTTGCAGAGTCAGGCTAAGGTGTAGCAAGGATTGTGAGGTTGGCACAGGACTGGGCAGTGTTTTCCTTCTGATGATATGGGGTCGCAATGTGCCAACTCCACCACACCTGACAACAACATTCTAGGTCATTTAAGGCACATTCTAGAATAAACATTGCCCTGATTCCATAAAACACAGTTTATGAACCAACAGACATCTGTCTGCTGGAGCACCTTAAATCAAGTACAACTCTATTTTATAAAAATAGTAAATTTTTATTCACACATACAACTACACTGACTGTCAGTATAATTAGGGTATACAATTTACGTGTAATCTAAGAGGCTCATGAAAAGGAAAAAAATGATAAAACAAGGCTTAAGGGAAGCCGCCCTTTTTAAGAGCCTGGCTAAGGAGATGCCAGGACACTGCTGCTGCACCAAACAAGTTCAGCAGCAAAAGAAGGTGGCAAGAAGTGGAAGGAAGTTTTGATGTAAAGTACCGACGGAAACACACGGCGGTGTTTGGAAGCAACCAGTAGATACTAGAAGGAAGTAGCGCCGAATAATCTAGAAAATAATAGAATGAGGATTGGAGAGGGTCAGTGTTAAACTAATGTATAGATAAATAAAGCCAAGTTCCCCTCACCCCCCAACGAATTAAGACACAAGACCGCGGAGAAAAGAAGAGTAGTATACAGCACCATTGGGGAGTGGGTGTGTGATAACAGAGACGTGTTAAGGAACATTAGGAACAGTAAAAAAGGAAGAGTTGGGGTGATGATTATTGGGTACCATTACTGGGAGGAGAGGCTTGCAAGGATAATAAAGAGGCAGAGTGTAAAGTAAGGAGTTGTGGGGGTAAAACTATGGGAAGAGGCTATGCAGACGTCAGCAGCAAAGAAAAAGGGAAGGAACAGGGTTGGGGCGTGGCCCAGAAAGGGAACGGCTCAATAACGGGCTACCGGGTGAAAAGAAGGAGGGTGGGGAAGAGCTTTGCTGGCATCTGCTCTCAAATGGCGCCTAGAGGGTTAAAAATCAGGGGCGCCTAGAATAGGAAGAACTCGGTTTCCAGGGTAACGGCTCACAGTTCCGGCAGCGCAGGCTCGTACCATTGCGCGGGCGCGCGCGGGGGGAGCAAGAAAGGGAGGAGGGGACACACGAAGGAACAGTCGAGTACAGGGGTACATCCTGGACTCTACCAAACGCACGGCCCGCCTGCTCGCCCTGGGGTCTGCGGCGTCTGCGGCGTCCTCGGTGCTGGGGCCGGCAGCTCCTAACTGCCCACGGTCGACGGGGGGAAAAGGAACGTGCGCCCGGTGACCCAGATTGGCCTCCTGGTCCCCCCGCTTCGGCAGCGGAGTGCGGGCGGCCCGGGGCTGGGAGGTTTGAAAAGCGGGCGAGAGACAAAGGCAGCAGGAAGCCTTCTCGGAGCCCGGTGCGCCCAGCCCCCGGGCCCTCCTCGCCGGCCCGCGGAGCTGCAACAGCAGCCGGAGGCGGCAGCGGCAGGAGACAGAGGATGCAGCAGGGGGCGTGGGAGCGGCGACCGCGGAGCGGGCGGCGCAGCGCGGCCCGAACGCTACGTGGTTAGACCGAAGGCAGCGGCGACGGGCCAGGTCAGGATCTGGGAGTGAGCGAGGGCGCCTTCCCCGCCCGGGATGTGAGGACTGAGCGGAGCCCGGGGCGGGGGGAGGGAAGGGAAGGGAGGCGTAGCCGGCAGGAAGGAAGGACGGACCGACCAGGAGGAGGAGCGGCAGCGGCGGCCGGAGCCGGAAGGCGGGGAGGGGCCGTCCGTTGGGCCCGAGGCGGCGGTGGCAGCCGAGGCGAACCACACTCGTCGCCTCCCCGGGGCAGGAGTGGCGGGGCCCGCGCCTCCTCCCCCCAGAGCCGCGGAGGGGGGAGGAGGAAGATGGAGACCCACATCTCATGCTTGTTCCCGGAGCTGCTGGCCATGATCTTCGGCTACCTGGACGTCCGGGACAAGGGGCGCGCGGCGCAGGTGTGCACGGCCTGGCGGGACGCCGCCTACCACAAGTCGGTGTGGCGGGGGGTGGAGGCCAAGCTGCACCTGCGCCGGGCCAACCCGTCGCTGTTCCCCAGCCTGCAGGCCCGGGGCATCCGCCGGGTGCAGATCCTAAGTCTCCGCCGCAGTCTCAGCTACGTGATTCAGGGCATGGCTAACATTGAGAGTCTAAACCTAAGCGGCTGTTACAACCTCACCGACAACGGGTTGGGCCACGCGTTTGTGCAGGAGATCGGCTCCCTGCGCGCCCTCAACCTGAGCCTCTGCAAGCAGATCACCGACAGCAGCCTGGGTCGCATAGCTCAGTACCTCAAGGGCCTGGAGGTACTGGAGCTGGGGGGTTGCAGTAACATCACCAACACCGGCCTCCTGCTCATCGCCTGGGGCCTGCAGCGCCTCAAGAGTCTTAACCTCCGCAGCTGCCGCCACCTCTCGGATGTGGGAATTGGGCATCTCGCCGGCATGACGCGCAGCGCGGCCGAGGGCTGCCTGGGCCTGGAGCAGCTCACACTGCAGGACTGCCAGAAGCTCACTGATCTTTCTCTAAAGCACATCTCCCGAGGGCTGACGGGCCTGAGGCTCCTCAATCTCAGCTTCTGCGGGGGTATCTCAGACGCCGGCCTTCTGCACCTGTCGCACATGGGCAGCCTACGCAGCCTTAACCTGCGTTCCTGTGATAACATCAGTGACACAGGCATTATGCATCTAGCCATGGGCAGTCTGCGCCTCTCGGGGTTGGATGTGTCGTTCTGTGACAAGGTAGGGGATCAGAGTCTGGCCTACATAGCTCAGGGGCTGGACGGCCTCAAGTCCCTTTCCCTCTGCTCCTGCCACATCAGTGATGATGGCATCAACCGCATGGTGCGACAGATGCATGGGCTGCGCACGCTCAACATCGGGCAGTGTGTGCGCATCACAGACAAGGGCCTGGAGCTGATTGCTGAGCACCTGAGCCAGCTTACTGGTATCGACCTGTATGGCTGTACCCGAATCACCAAGCGTGGCCTGGAGCGCATCACGCAGCTGCCCTGCCTCAAGGTACTCAACCTGGGACTCTGGCAGATGACGGACAGTGAGAAGGTCAGGTGAGGGAGGCAGCACCCGCTCCCCTTGTCCCTCCCTGTTCATCCTCCCTTCACCACCACCGTCCCCACACACTCCACACGCACACCTATACATACATCATTGCAGTGGCTGAAAGGAGGCAGTGATACAGCCTCAGGCGCATTTTCTTCCACACCCCTCCCCACCGCCCATTCTCCTCCTTGCCTCTGGGGATGGAAACTGACCTAACCCCTCCATTCCTCTGTTATCCCTACCCTACTCCCCTCTCCTTTTCCCAGGGGATGGAGAGATGGATTCAGCTACTTACCCACCCACTCCTCTCGGCAGGGGGATGGAAGACTGATTGAGCTACTTCCCCACTGCGTTGCATTTGGAAATGAGGGGTGGGAGGGAGTGACTAGTCCTTTCAACCCTGGGGAGTTGAGGGAAATGTCTGCCTTCACTTAAGCTTTTATTTGAATACTGTGATCTGGTTTTTATTTTGAAGTGTATAAAAAGCAAACCCAACTACAACAGCCTTTTCACCCTTCTTCCACTTCTGTAACTAATCCCAGTCTCTTCTCATCACTTCTCCTTTTACAGTACTCTGGTATTCATGCTCATTTCTTTTTCTTTTTGTTTTTTTAAAGAAATTTGAAATCACGATTCTTTTTTAACTACCATTTTTTCTGCTGAATATATTCTATATTATATATATATAAATTATATATATATATATATATTATATATATATGTCTGGCTACCTCGTTTTAGTTTAATTTTTTCTCTGAAGCCCTGGAATTCTACAAGAGAGATTTTGAGACTGAAACATTTTTGTGCCTAGACTGGAAAGATGCCCATTGGGTTTGTACGTCTTTTTTTTGTTTTGTTTTGGCTTCCCAACCCCCATCCATCTAGTGTGTCCCCACTTGCACATTCTGGCTATAATTTTCTTTTTCTCCTTATCCATTGGGATTTGAGGGCCCAATGGTGTTTCTATATCTCAACTTAATTTATAGCACAAATGTGTGGGAGAAATGAGAGAGGAACTGTTTTTTTGTTTGTTTGAGATGCGGATTGTGTCTTGAAAATGATTATTATATATGCAAATTCTGCCCTTCCCTCACCCTTTTCCAAGTTTCCCCATAAGAAGGTCACACAGTGAGGCTTCCTGTTGGAAGTTGAGGAGCAGAGCTGGCCTGCAGAGCCCCTGGGGTTGCAATGTGAAGGGGAGGAGACTGAAATTCATGTCTTATCTCTGTTCTGTTAATAAAATGGAGTTTGTGGGTTTTAAAACATTGTTTCTAAATGGAGGAATAGATGATTTTCTTTATTTTGGTGGGGGTTGGGACTTTGTGGCTTTAAAAAAATATCAATTTTGAGTGGATGTATATTTTTGTTGGTTTTTTTTTTTTTTTTTTTTTTTTTAGAATTCTCCATAGCAACATGAGAGACCATGGAGTTTAAGAAACCCAGAGACCTTTATCAATTAATTGTACTGTTTGTGAATTTGTATAAATAATAACAAAGATCCTCTTAAAACGTTTATATTCTTACAGTAAAAGGTTAAACTGATATTTATATAATAAAAGAGGAAATATGAAGTATGTTTTTGAAAAAAAAAAAAAGATAACAGAAAACCTTGTATCTGTCGATTATTTTTAAGGCATTGTGTGTTTGGGTACATGCCAAACTCTGAGATGCTGCTTGTGTGTTCTGAAGCAAAAGGAAATAAGATGTAGATTGGTGCATCCTGTGTGTTGCGAGTAAGTTCACAGTTAAAAGTTTATTCTGTGTAAGGTTTAATACATCTAATTCCTTTTTTTCATAGAAATGTAATTAGACTTGAGGGTCATATGACTTTTGGTTTTAAACTGTCAACGACATAGAAATTTAAAGAAATTGAACAAAGTGAAACTTAAAAAAAAAAAACACACAGATTTTAAGAGTCACATTTGCCCTCAGGGTAGCCAGCTAGTTTTTCTTTGAGTGGAAATCTAGAGGAAATGTTGAAAAGAGTTGAGTCATGAGAAGTGGAAGTGGGGGAAAAAATACGGGTTTCCCCAGCCCTAGAGTGGGTGTGGGGAGGATGTGAAGGGTGGAGGGAACTAAAGCCATTGTTCAGAAGAGTTAAAAGAGCGCAGGCCTTGTTGGCTGGCCACTCAGTCATGCATACTGAATCTCACAGTGTGAGTGAGGGTCCCCGTGGAAGGGAGGAGGGTGGCTCAGCCCTCTTTTTAACATTCCCCTCCAGCCCTGGCTGTACTTAAGCACTTTACTGGGGGATGGGGAGGTTGGCCAGGAGTCCTTGCACATTTGCATTTTAAGCACTTCCAATGCGGAGGCTGGCCACTGGCTCCCCTCTGTTGAGGGTTCTTAGACTGCATTTGGGGCAGATTAGTGAATAGCAGCAGCTCTAGTAAAGCGTCTCCTTTGGTAGACAGTAACTAAATAATCTGACACCATGTGGTTGTGCTGTGGAAACTTTACTAAAGAGTATAAATGCTGTAACAGTAATTCATATTCCTGGTTTCACCTAGGTCTGTCTCTTGTTTCTGAGATGAGTTTTTTGTTTTTTTTTTTTAAATACTGATCCCAGCAAGAGATGGTAAGAGTAGTATAAAAATTTTCCTGGATCAGCCCCTCTTTCCAGGAAGAGGACGAGAGCCCAGGGTTCTCTTGGGATAAGGTTGTTTTGTAAAATTTCCAAGCTTTTCTGCTCGAGCATATCACAAAAGCTGCGTTATTCCTATTTGGAGAGCCATCACAATTGGCTCTAATTGAGCCTGACGCTAGATCCATCTTCCTTTTCTTCGGCAAAGGTGCAGATCTCTTTCTTCCCACTTCGGTTACAATGCTTATTGCCCGGAACAAAAAAGAAGAAAATTACGTGTGAGCGCTAGTAAGAAGTAGGCAGTCTGGATTCGGTTCAGCTTCCCAACTTAGCCTTTGACACTACACACATGAAGGTTACATAGCCTACAGGTTCTTAGCCTATTTTTCTTCCAAGAGATGTCATGGCTGTAGAGATTTCAAATAGTTGATAAAAATTTGAGCTCCTCCTAAGTCAGGCTCTTGCTCACATTCTTCATTTTAGTACACAAAATAAACCTACCAGCCATCACCCAAAGAGCTTTCTGCTTTTTTGTTTGGCTTTTTATTTTAACAGTTAAATACAAGCCTGACTAAAGTTGGTAAATTAATGTCTGAAAGTTAACATCATGGGTCTGTTGTCCTTACCCTGAGCGGGACTTAGGAATAATGTCTGATGCTTCTCTAGAAAACAGGAATAAACTTCTCACTTAACTTAGTCAACGCCAGTAGCTCATCTCTCAGTCTTTTTGGGTGGAAGCAAATGAACATTATTGAGAATCTGTGATTGATTTGCATGATATTCTGTAAATGTATCTGTTTCATCCTCAAAGCAACCTACTGAAACAGGTACTCCCCCCCCCCTTTTTTTTAACAGATAAGGCACAATACTTGCCTAAAATCACCCAACCTGTCAGGGAGGGAGCCGGGGCTGATTCTGAAGTCAAGCTCTATTCTGCTCTTTGAGGTTTAGTTACTGACCACACTTTGGTTTCCTGTAAGATGACCCTCACAGAAATGAATGGTAGCTGTGTGAACCCAGTATCCACAGGGCACTACTTCAGAGGGAGTTAAGGGTGGGTTCTTGGTTATGAAAGATTGATTGCCACATTATCTTTCTGTTCTTTTAGATAATGTGGCAATCAGAAATCCTTTTAAAGAACAAAAGCACTAAAGGCAAGTGAATTGATACATACTGCCTGGGTTGTGCAAAAGTTAACAAGGCACTTCAGAGAAGTTTTTAAAAGAAAAAAAAATCTGGTTCAGGTATTTGCTGAAACTTAAAGAACTAAAAAACAAAAACAAAACTTTGTCTAAGTCTTAACATCCAGAGGTATACACTTCATCTAGAAGCTGTTTAGGTAGAAGTAAATAAAGGGCTTCGCGTATTTTTCTTAAGTCTTATTAGGCAGTAGTCCTTTAATGTTTGCGTGGAAAAGATTAATTGTGGGGTTCAGTCTGTTTCTGCAGCACCCTAAAGAGCCATAATAGGCTAAGAGTGCTTCGTTGTTGCATAATCCTCCCTGGTATGGACTCCTTCCTGCTGAATTCCTTGGTCCTAACTTGGGCGGGGAAGGGAGCCATTCAATTATTCCACGTTTGTCAACAGTGACAAGGATGCTTGCCTATTACATTTACTAAAACTAAAAGCCAGGCCCAGTACGTCCTTAAATAGGTAAGAAAACTCAAGCTGGTCACACTCTTTTCATGATTCAAATCCACAACAACAAAGGTTTGACAAAGTAGGATTTCCTTTTATTCTGGTTTCGTTTTAAAGGTAAGAACTTTCTCTTAAAGGACATATGATCTGAGGACGGGGAACTGAAGCATGACCTCTCACCCAAATCCTGGTGCTCCCCTGCCGTGACTCCCAGGTAGATGCTGGTCTTGGAATTTGAGCACAACCTTCCACATTTGACTTAGAGAATTTGAACTCAAATTTTCAAAGGGTGAAAGAATAGTGGCCCCCAGGGACCACTGTGTTCCCAAAGAAAAAGAATCTCTTGATTAAAAGATCAGATTTGTAAAACAAAACCAAGACGTCATGTGGTTTCTGACAACTGTCTTCCTATTCCGATGAAAGGGAAAGCCTCTGGGCTCTGATCTTCACTGTCTGCCTGTAGAAAGTCATCTAGTGGTCCCTTCTCTCGGTTATCTTTCTCTTCCCAGCATCAGACTTCACCCCTTTAAAAGTTAATTCTAGCCCTCTAGTAGAGGGTGAGACCTAAATTTTGTGCCACTATGAACCCCTGGGGAGTCAGGGGGGTGGCGCTTTTTGATGAAATAATGTGGCTCATGGATAAATACAGGATTAAAACCTAAGCCTTTGATTGGACTGAATATCTCATTTTTGTCAACATAATTAGATAGCGAGGTAAATTTTTTTAAAAATTGCCTTAATACTAATGAGATACTCATCTTTGTATGGTATTAGTTATTACTAATTAAAATTT